CAGAAAGCAGATTTGAGGTAAAGGTTTAAAGCTTTAGCGGCTAACCATGCTAATCCAAGTCAGTGCATTATTACGAAAAAACTGATTTTTTTTATGGCTTCATAGGGTTGAGGTCGTTGAGAAGTGCCGCAAGATTTCTAAAGGAATGGTTGGAATTCTGTGTGGGCTTGGTGGTCTCTTTGCGTGCTAAAATGAATGATCTATGCCGACATTCGTTGACCCTATTAGCGGATTAAACTGAACGTGCAGTGACTCTCGCCAAAATATCTTTGATTCAAAGTGAAACATACTGCGACAATTACGTCTGCAGGAGAATTAATCACCAATACAAGATAGAGCTGGGCTGATTATGATCAGTGATAAGACTAGTCCATACCATTTACACCAAGTCTTCAGTTCATGTCATTCTTTATAGCCAGTCGAGCTAGCTAAAAGTTCGTCAATATGTCAAATATTCAGTCCTGGAGTTTTAGTTGTCAGCTTAGTTGTCAGTGAAGTCTTCCTGAAGTCCTCCTTTCCCTTTGAAAGGTGTCTATTATCACGCGATGGGTACTTGAAAAGCTTTTAACATGCATGCAGTTTTAACTTAATTAACCTGTGAACATTTTTCAGCTTTTGAAACACATTTTCGTCTGACTAATGTATGATATTTGGGAGGTCGTTGGTCTTTATTAACTTAGTACTCATTCGACAAAGTAAGGCATTTTTTTTATTGCAGAGTCTTGTTGGAACACATTTAGAAAAGTGCGCATTTAAATTTTTTACACTCTGTGAAATTACATTCTCTGAAATCTCTTTTGGAAACAGACATCTACACAACAGAAAAATGGTCAGGTTAATGAGATCACATGTCGAAGAACAAGCTGAAAGTTTAATATTAGAAAAAAGATTTCGACCGAATCCCACTGGAACAGAAGAAAGAAAAAAAATCATTAATCAAGGAAATTAGATATTTCGTGTGCCAGACTATTACTCGCATGCCTTACGACGCGTGACATGAAGAGCTTGAAGTTCTTTCTCTCAAGCATTTGTAAAATGACACCTACCAAGTACTGACCACCACTGCACTAAGTCCATATTCACAATACAGCCCCCATCCCTTTTACACTTTAGAGTGCACTATTTACTTTACATGCACTTTTCGATCTCCACACGGAATTCTTTGCGATTTTCTAATGAAGTTGGCCTCCTGTATTTATTTGTGGCGTCAATGTTGTCGCTTTCTCCCTTTTCTTCCCAAGATCCTGTCCTTTTCTCTACTGACAGTTTAGGGAAGGTATGTTTTTTTTTTATTTGGGGGGG